GTTAGCTGAGGCAGCTTCCGAGATAAACGAACTTGTCTACTACTTCTAAAGGATAACCCGAAATAGTTGAAAAAGGAAAAGCTCCTAGCTAGTTCGGCATTGCAATTTAGGCGCCCTCCGAGGCATCGTAAATTACGGCAATGTCTGCACAATCAAATTCGCGAAGTCGGTCTCCCGGAAGCAATTCAATGCCACTGGGTTCGCAATTGTCCAGAGCGCTCTCCAGCGAAGTTGAACAGGAAGGATGATGCAGGACAACCTTGTCCGACGTCACTGGTGATACTGAAAGGGGGCGAAAGTTGGCAGTACACCCGCATACGGCCCGAGAATGAATGGCTTTAATAACGTTAACATACTTCTCGGGCACAACCTTTCTTCGCACAATTTTAGAGAGCAGCTCGGCTTGTATGTCTAAGAAGACGACGATCGTTGACCGGCCGAAGATTTGACGATGCTCGGGTATCTGGTGGATCGTAAGGACCTGATCGATATAACCCCGACCAAAGCTGAACCCAGCTTGCTCTGCGCGTACGTTCTGTTCGCGAACCAGCCAGCTTTCCGAAAAACATCAGCGAGCATTTTGGACGTAACGCAAATTGGACTAACCCTTCGATGATTCGCGCAATCTGTCCGGGCACGATATTCTCTAGGCTTCAATCGAACGCATATGCTTCAGCTATTTCTCGTACACGCGGTGGGACACCATCTTTGAAAAGAACACGGGGGGTTTCCACTGAACCAGGAGCTTCGTAGTGTTTCCGGAGGCGGATGGACATTAAAGGTCCAAGTAAAGCAGTGTTAGAATGGCGGCAAACTTTTCGGGTGCCTCATACTTTTGCAGATACCTTAAGGCAGGTCGACCGCTCAGGCCCACTGCAGTCCAAATGTCCAGAAATGTAACGGTGGTGGGCTGGCAGAGCATGAATATGTGTTCCGCATGCTCTCGATCGAGCGGAGAACAACTTGTCCTTCTTCGGAATGTAGTTCTCTAGCCGGAATTAGTCTATGGAGCAGAAATGATTCCAACAACTTGGAGATGGTTGACACTAGACAGATTTCTCTGTAATTAGCACAAAGGTAAGAGTACCCTTGATGGTCAGGACGATAACCGACCCACTCCAAGAGTATGGCGCTCGCGCTAAACATTGGGGAGCAGAAACATTAACTGGTTGACAACTACCTAGCAACCTTACTTGGAAATCGCCGAGAATAGCCCGTCCGAGCCAGCGGCTTTTAATAGCCAAGAGCAAATCGCTTCGGTAGGTGGTTCTAATGGAACTTGCCTGGGCCTAATGGGTAAACACAAGCGGAAGAGGCAAACTGTATTGAGTGTGGAAGTGCTCAACCCAACGGTCTATGCGACCCATCCTAGCAAACGGTCTCACTAATACCAGACCTGTGGCCAGTAGTTCGAATTATCCGGAAGAACGTACGAAAGTTTCCAGAGAGGGAGAGCAATTATCTCCCTCAGGTTTTGTGATTGTTACTTAAGTTTCCCTTAAGTTGCTGATTGAAGTTGTGGCATTATTCGCTATAATTTGAATCAGCTGGGATGAATCTGTGGTGATCAAACATTCTCAGGGAGTGAAAGGATATATCTCAGAGGACAAAAGGTGGTTCCACAGATCGATTGGCCAGGAGAAAGTATCGCTTTTTGCGAGACTCAAACTAAAAACCATATCCTGGTGGGCGCACCTGATAAGAAATGTTGATAATTCAATGGGATGGAGCGTTCGAGCGATTTGTTTATTTGATTGTTTTATCACCTCTTGCACCGCTGAGGCTCGTGGACCCTTTAAGGCCTCAGACGTATGGGGAAATTAATGGTGGATGTTTGTGAGTAGTGTAAAGTTCGAAGAAAGTAGAAGCCACGATTAAAATTCACGCACAATAATATGCCTCGATGGGGAAATGTCGATGCGTAAGCTTCGTGGTTAATGGAAGGGGTAACAACGCCATGGTGTACTGTGTTGCTGTATGGATCGGGAACTTAACCACCGCGCTTTGAGGATATTAAGGAGCGTGTTTGACGAACGATGCTGATAAAATCTTACCAAGGAAGCTAATGCTGAATTTCATCTGGTTTTGGCCAAAGACCCACCGGTGCTACATTCGAATGCCTGCTGAGCTCGAACCACCCCCGTTGACTCGGTCAAGTGATCCACATACTCTATCCTATCGTTCCTTTGTGTGTGGTATTCCAATACTGCATATAATTGGGTGAAAATCCAAGGTGGCCATAAAATGACATAGCAAAGGAGCATGAGGAAAAACAACGAAAGTCTGAGTTGTGTCGGCACTTGTCGTCTTCCCGAGTGAGGTTCTTCGCACAATCCACATCAGTGGTTGGACCCATTATCGGATATACAGCGATCACGAAACAAGTCGCGCTGCAGTGGTTGTTTGCTCTTCAACTCATTCACTGTTCTATCTAACAGTTTTATTTATACCCGTTTCTTTTCAATTATTATTATCGTTATCATTTTGGTAATGTGCGTCAATGCCCCTAAAGTTTCTGTACGCAACTATTGTTGCTGAATGAGGATCTAGGCGTATCTCTTATGTGACTACATCAGGACAAATGGGGTTGGTTGCAACTGACTTGCTTCTCCCCTCTCAACAAATTCGCGATCAATGCGCATATGAGTGACCTTGTCGCAGTTCCATCGCTTATAATAGAAGCTCGAGGGGACAAACAAATGATGAGTGATCGAGCCCCACACACGCATTGCTGAAAAAACCGACAGGTAGAGTTCGGTACTGCAGCATGACTTGGCCGAGATCCCAGTGGTTCCCGACACTCAGTCACAACGAGACTGGACCTTAACTTGGTGTGACGTTTTGCATACCTCGTCGACCCATTGAGCTTTACTAGATGGGATCCTCCTATCAGGTTGGCCAATGGTTAGACATCAAACAAGCTCAGTCTCCTGGTCCTCCAGGTTGGGGTTTGAAATGAGATGGCGTCCATTTCTGTAAAATCGAATCGTTGCCACATCCGCTGCTTTGTCGACAGGCTTTTGAGACAAAGGCTCTGGTTGTGGATCCTAATTATTCTCATGTCTAGGTCTGGGCGCCCTGACAACATCTCAGCCCACGTACAACCATGACTTCTTCAAACTTCAATCATATCTTGCATCGGCCGTCGCGCAGATTATCAAGGGTCGCCTTACCTGCCGAATCCAGCAAGGCGTATAAGCGAAAACATGCTACTGCTGGCGCCTCCCTTTTTTCCTTTCCAACTGCTTCTCTTACTCCCCCGCAGTCTCCATTACTAGCCTTCCTCCTATGATTCACAGTTTAATTGACAGCAACCACAATGCCACTAGAGTCATACCCGCAGCATCCACTGATCGCCAACAGCTCCTTATAAGGTCACATTGTCTCGTCTCCCTGGCTGCGTTCAACGTTCGTATTCCGAGACAAATAGGTCAACGGGCTGCATTCGCACGCACGTTTGACACATTGGATATTAACGTGTGTTGTGTGTCCGAAACTGGGATAAATGATGCTCACGGGTTGTTAAATTAACTAAACCGGGCTTGTCCTCTCGCTATTGGTTGCACGCATCCGGAGACGCTGATGCAGCAAACACTGGTCAAGCTGGAGTGAGCATTGTATATAATGATGAATGATTCTGTCATGTGATTCGCTGTCGAACCGAAAGCTGGTTACACTTCGTTCCCTGTTCGTTGGTGTTGGGCTGAAACGGTGTTTTCTAACAAAAGTATGCGATATACGAAACAACCCCATCTCTGCTAACATCGGTAAGCAAGAGTGTCCCGCACTTGTTGGGCTCCTTTTATGGGCCAAAAGAAATGGACTGTCGGTCTCAACAGTTCACCACAAAATATAATGAACTTACAAAGAAGCGAAGTCATAAAAAAGCCGATCTCCAATTGCTCGTTATTCGGTTTTGCCATCATTAGGCAATGCGGTAGCCTGGCGCGAGACTGAATTGACGCTACATCCGAAACTCGTAACTCGTTGTCACTAGTAGTTGAAGATTGAGAAGAGTCCCATGGATCACTCAGTAAAAATACGTTTATCCATTTTCTATCCATTGATTACCCTGAACTGAAACACTTGGAAGACCTCATTCAGAAATGGAGTATAAACTATCGCACCAAGTTAGAGTTCAGCCACAATATGTCAACACGGAACATTTGTGTGGCCTAGATGGGATGGATTGCGATTGGACCAAGTCAATACGATACAAACCCATGAAGGACCAGTTAGCAGTTAACACCACATAAGGCTCTCTAGTAGTACACATTTCCAGAACTCGGTGAAGGATAGAGACCGTTGTAGCGAACGGAAGATTTCCCTGTTTGTCTGAGTACGATATGTAAGATATTATAAAAATAGTTCCGTTTTGTATCTCTACAACGTAGAAAGTTTGCCTGTTAGAGTCACGTAGACGGATCGCACTTCGCGCGCTTCTGGCTTTCCGCCTCGAAGATTGCTCGCGACGTCTGCGTTGGCGACTATACCTCTCTCTTACCTAGAACCATTTTACGGTGCCTTTTAGTTAGCAGGACTGTACATTTCAACAATAAACTTATATCTCGCCCATTTATCCGTCTTCTTCCGGACTTTTTCTAAGGCAGGACGAATCTTGGTTTATAGCGACCAATCGATTCCGCTGTCTTGATCTTGTGTGATAATTACATGTTGCGGAAACTCAGGTGTATAAACCACTCTTCTGAACAGGATTAGTTTAACGAGCTTGCCTTTGAAAAGTGAAAATAATAATTTCAAACACAGACGTGAAACACTGTGACAAGTGGGTTTGAAATAGTGAGGCATCGCGCGCTCAGTGCTACCAGGTCTGACAGACTGAAGACCTCAGTGTGGAACAGCTAGATAAACCGTTTTCAGCCCGTGGGATGCTAACGAATTCAGTGCCGTATCTCATTGAATCAAACACTTGGTGACTGACTAGTTCCGGCAGTTCTTTGAAGGCTAAGATACAAGCGACGCTAAAATGTAAACACAAAGGGGCAATAATCTTATCCAAAAATGCAGAACGAAGACCGGAGAAAAGGCAACCGAGAAGAACAGGCAAATCGGATTTAGAGGGCCTATATTGTTGTAGATTAATGTCATTCCACAATATGACGTTGTAAATGCTTTGCTATCCCAAACATCTTGAAACGCTTTTGGCCGAACAGCCGCTGCCAGTCATCATTACATATGACAAACTGCTTATTCTCCGGGTCCTAAAAGATCAGTGTAAAAATAACAGAAACCTACGAAAAGATTGTTTTCTCGCGCAAGAGCCCACAACCGCTTCACCAACTCGGCCCGGGATAGTTGTTTCTCTCCAATATACTGCGCCATTTCGTCGGAAAGCGTAAGTGGGCGAGTAAAGCCCGTCTTACCGCTTCCTGAAGATTGCCTTGCACTTTTGGGTTTGAAGGCTACGAAAAATAGAGGAACACTATTCTACGAACTTGGGGTGGTACGACGCCTCATGCCATTGGTTTCTGCGTGCAGACTTCTTGCGAATTCTTCATCACAGTTGCGCTCTCTTCGCTTCTTGCTTGGAGTCTCCTGCTCATCCGAAGAGCTGTTTCCAGAATCCGGAGAAGCATCACTCTGAAATTGTAAAGCGCCGCTGCTCTAAGAAACTACCGAGTCAGCGCGTATCTCCTTTTCACCATTGCTTTTGTTTTTTATAGAATCAATTTTTCTAATAGTGTTCAAAATCATTACTTCAATCTTATTTTTGTAAGAAGACAACTCCGTATCGAAACGCTCTTCAAGCAGATGCCGAACTTTTCTGGACGTTATCCTGTCAAGATCGGCATCGCGAAGAATATCTGATGAACGACTGTCCTTATCGGCTCATTGTCTTACTTTCTATACAAAGAAGTAACTCATCATCTCTCGGGAAGGTCATAATAATGTACAAGATGTAGTATGCGAGCGGTCGAGGGGATTCCGAGGGCTTCCGTGCACAGTGCGTATGTAGGTCGTAGTAGACTTGTGGAGCTGCAATGGAAAGCAAATACCTCGTAAATGGCTGGATGCTCATATCACAACCACCTAATAAGAGAGTACGGTAAACCAGGCGTAAGGTAAAGAGAAGAGGAAGAACCAATGGCCGTCTACTCGAGGTACAACGATCTCCTTACCTTAGGAATCACCGCGACGTCACGTTAGGACCTGTCCATCATTGTACACATTAGCTGCAGGTGGAAAACAGCTATTGTGCCGCAATACAAAAGAAAAGAGAAAAACATGAAACAGAAACTCGCCGGCTGAGTCACCAGTAGCGGATGGACATCGTTCCGGAGAGCTAACAGTTGGCTATTGTGCCACAAAATAGTCAATCATCTCTAGTAATTGAGACCGTGATTGAAGGGAGAGGGACAAAGAAAAGCACCTGCTATATTATCCGCTCTGTTGACAGGTGCTGTCTTCATTACCTACAGTAGCACTAGCCGGTTTCGAACTGTGGATGGGTGTAGTGTGCTCGATTCGAAAGATTCCGCGACAAGTACTGGTCACAGGAAAGTCAATGATAGCCTCAAAGGAAACGATCCAGCTTCAAGGACTGTCGGGAACTAGCAGGGTCGTTAAATGTGTAGCAAGCGTATGGTCTACGATCTGCTGGCGCACAAAACAACTGAGGAGCACGATGTACTAGGTGCGAAATTCCACGACGAGCACTGGTCACAGAAAAGTTACTGAACGCTTCAAGAGCAACAGTCCAACTTCAGGGACTGCTATCGGGGACTGGCAGGGTCGCCGAATATGTAGTATACTTCTGGTCGAGGATTCCGAGTGCTTCCGTCTCCAGTGTATATGTATGACCGTAATAAACCTGGGAAGCTGCAGTGGAAAGCAAATACCTCGTAAATGGCTGGATGCTCATATCACAACCACCTAGTAAGAGACCACAGTAAACCAAACGTGAAGGTAAAGAAAAGAAGAAGAATCAATGGCCGTCTACTCGAGGTACAACGATCTCTTTAGCTTAGGGATCACCGCTAAGTTAAGCTAAGACCTGCTACACTAAGGGTCACGCTCGGGCATGCTACATTATCCCCCCTGTTAACAGCTAGCTTGGCGAATGGTCCAAGTCTTTCAACATGAAAGGCCAGCGAGGTAAGAGCCAAGCATCTAGGCGTCGTTTGAAACCTCTGTATTATGTGCTGAGACAACAGTTTCAGGCAGGGCGTTCCAGACGGCGATACGCACACTAAAGCTGGTTCTTCGGCACTGAAGCCGACTACTGCGAGTCATGAGTTTGAGCGAGTGCTCTCTTAGATGGTCTGTGCGGGCGCGAACGAGTAAGTCGGTATTAGGGTGCCTGTTGTTAGTCAGGATAGAATAGGCTAGGATGAGATCACCACGAAGCCTACGATATTTCAGTGGGAAGAGTTTAAGGGCCGCAAGGCGCTCTTCGTACGAGAGGTGGGATAGTCCCTCCACTCTCTTAGTGGCTCTGCGCTGGACGGTTTCCAGCAGAGCCTCGTCCTTCTTCAGATACGGCGGTTGGACCAGTATATTGTACTCCAACAGCGGGCGTACCAAGGTGCTGTAGAGGCGGACAAATATTTCTCTAGGGAATGACCCTAATGCACGCCCAAGGAGGGCCAGGCGCACGCTGGCCTTTCTCGCCAATGTGGCTACGTTAGCGCTCGGGCTCAGGTCGGCGGATATAATAGTGCCTAGGTCGCGTTCCTGGGATGTGGCGTTAAGACGCACGCCGCCGATAGTGTACGGAGTGCTCGCACCTTGTCCGATGTGCATGACCTTGCACTTGACGGTGTTGAACGGGAGCAAGTTTTCCGAGGCCCAGGAGTAGGCAGCATCGATGTCTCTCTGAAGACGCGCCTGATCGCTTGGCTCGCGGATAGGTCGCCATATCTTAGCATCATCCGCATAGAGCAGTATATGGCTGCTAATGGAAGATGGTAGGTCATTAATGAACAAAGTGAGAGGCCCGAGGATAGATCCCTGGGGCACTCCGGTCGTCGCAGCCAGAGCGCTGGAGAGTGCGCCATTTACACGAACTTGGTAGGTGCGCCCGGATAGATAGGTACTTAGCCAGGAGATTGTTTGCTGGTCAATCCCCAAACTCGGTAGTTTACTTAAGAGGACTGCGTGATTAACCCGGTCAAATGCTTTTGAAAAATCTAGGTAAACCACGTCAGTCGGAGTATGACTGTCTGCCTCTGCTGTCCAGGAATCAAGGGCTGCGAGAAGATTCGTGGTGCACGAGTGAGCCCTGCGGAACCCGTGCTGTTCCGGGGCTATTAGGGACTGGCTTTCTAGATGGTAGCGCAGAGCATCGTCTATGATGCTCTCCATTACTTTGGAAGAAGTGCTATCGGGCGGTAATTAGAAGGGTTTGTCCTGTCACCACCCTTGTATATCGGTGTTATGACCCCTTGCTTCCAGGTGTTCGGATATTCTGCGCTGGTGTGGGAGCGGCTGTACAGTGAGGCAAGCGGTTCGGCCAGTACGGCAGCACACTCACGCAGAAAGATGGGAGGGATCCCATCCAAGCCCGGCGATTTGTCTGTCCTTAATTTTGCTAATTTTTCCAGAACTTTATCTGGCGTAAACTGTACCTGATGTCTGACAGCGCCGGGAGTGAAATTAGTGTCCACTATTGTACTGCGTGCCGAGGTGCTAAAAACGGACACGTACTGAGCCTTCAGCAGTTCTGCAGCTTCTTTGTCCGACGTTGTAGTGTTGCCGTCGGGTCTGAGCAGGCTGCCGATGGCAGCCCGCGATTTAGTGAGAGAGGCAATGTGCCGAAAGAAGACCTTGGAGTTATCGGCGAAGCGTCTAGCGAGAGCAAGCTGGTAGGCTTTTTGTCTTGGCGAACAGCTGCTACACAGGAATTTCGCACTCTACGGTATTGTGCTCGCGATTCAGAGTCACCAAGTAGTAAGAATCTGTCCCAGAGGGCCTTCTTCTCCCTGATCAGTCTAAGTGTGGCGGGCTGAAGCTGCTTGTGGCGTTTCGGCGCAGAAGCACGCACTGTAGGAACGTATGCCCTAATGGCGTCGTTGATGTGAGCAGCGATGTAGTTCCAGTGGTCATCGACTGTGGGAGTTTGTGCTGCGAGGGACCAGTCAACTCGGGAGAGGTGATCTTTGATCGCGTCATAGTCCGCTCGGTGAAAGTTCAGCCTAGTGGGTAATGCTTTAGCGTTGAGCGTGACATTTGCCACCACCCGAAAACTGATAACTACGTGATCACTGGCACCGAGTGGGGCGTTCAGTTTTACGTCATCAATTAGATGTGGCTCGTTAGTGAGCAGCAAGTCGAGTTTCGACGGGTTTTGCCCGTCTCGCCACCGAGTGAACTGCTGTACGTGTTCGGTTAGGCCGTGTTCTAGAACACTGGCAAGAAACTCATGGCCGTGAGCCTGGCCAGAGGCAAGGTCGATCTCCGGGAAATTGAAGTCCCCAGCGACGAGTAGGGGAACTTAAGTAGGAAGCAAGTGCTCGAAGGGCTGCATCCAAACGCCCCAGCCGTTCTGTAGGAGCTAAGGTCCGGTGATAGATCACGCTAAGAGTGAGACTGGTCGCAACGGAACTGCGGAGGCGAATACAGAGGGATTCAGGAAGTGATAGCAGTTCTGTAGCTTTGAGAGACTCATGCGAGGCGGTCTGATATGTACACAGCTACGCATCCGCCCCTGCCGCGTTCACGGTCGTTTGGAAGCAGCACGTATTCTAGGATAGTTACCTCGGCGTCGACAACATCCAGGCAGAACCAGGTTCTGGTTACTCAGATGACTTTAGCTTGCGTGTCAAACGCAAGAGCAGCGATTTCTGGCACCTTGTTCTGCAATGAATACTGAATACTGTATTTTGGAGCAAGTAGAAAATAATTCTGTACAACTCCATCGGGTGATAATCAAAAAACATTTTTAAAAAAATAAATAAACACGTCCGGTGGTTATCCTGAGATGGTTCAGCAACTCCTTCTGTAGCACACAAAATGCATGTTTACACAGTGAGTCACAAGTGGGTGATATCGTTGTCAAGTGGCAACCGTTCTCTGAAACGTATGTTAGCGAAGTGTACATCCAACAAAGATTTGAATTTCTGCACAGATTCGGCCTCGACGACGTGTTCTGGCAGACTGTTCCAGGCGTGCACAACCCTCCGCTTGAAACACAGGGGGTGTGGGATTTTCTTCAGATCAGGTACTACGAGTTTGTACCTGTGCCCACGTGTGGTGCATGGTACTCGCAAGTGGAGTAACGACCTTAGCATGGGGAAATGAGTGTTAGTGTACAAGCAGCTCTACGTGCTAACATGAACTGCGGGCGAGCAGTGCTAACAAGGTGCAGTTGGTAGAGCACTTTGGATTTTGGTTTATGCCGACCCTGGTGCAACGGTACCTGTAGCGTAAGTTTAAAAACATCTGCACGGAAATTACCTTCCGCCGAGCTGCAAGAAAGATGTGCGCAGCAAACTTCCGGTAGATGGAAGTCACCCAGTATCAAACACCTGTTTGCGGATTGGGAGCAAACAAAGTTAAACGCCTCTTTGGACGCACTCCCAGGGCTTCTATACACAATTAAAACTGTAATTTGAGCCGAGCAAGTGCTAATCACTACCGACAGGGCTTCGGCAGTTTTGGTTGTCGACGGAAACATGTAGGTACGCTAAACATCAACTTCACAGCTAACGTAAAGCGCAACGCCCTCACCTAGTCGGCCAACGAAGCGATCACATCTAAATAGTGCGTAGCCAAATAGATGTACTTCACCGTGCGTGATGTCCTGAGATAGCCACGTTTCAGTGAATGTGAGTGTATCGTATTGAGACCCATTTGCAAGCAGACCTATCTCGCACATCTTATTCCTTAGGTTGCGCACATTGCTTAGCACTATCTGAAGGTATTCGTTCAGCTCTGGGTCGTACGCTATCAGGACTGGCAGTAGCGGAAAAAGGATGCCGGCTAATCATTCGAAAACATACCAACTGGAGCTCGCCTTGTTTGAGGTCCTTGATGGG